CCAATAGAAATACATTGCTCTTAAAATCGTGCTATGCAACACGAAAAAAAGGGGGAAATCGTGTTGGTGAACACGAATCAATAGATTAAAAATCGTGTTGGTGAACACGAAATGCCGTCAGACTGGGTTGAACATTCTCAGAATTTTTTTAGAACCAAAAATCTCTAGCTGGGTTTATGGCATGGGAAGGACTGCTTTACTACAGAGTAAGCCCACCAGTTATTATGTTTCTGCCTACTGTAATGTCTTGACTTACTGCTGAATAAACCTGGGTCGTAAAAGATACTCGACCCTCGATCATTCTACATGGTTTCAGNGTGGATGAATGATGTGAAATATAATCAAGTGTTAAATCAGACTTTAGTTCCACCTGGAGCAAATCCACAAGCTACCCTGCAGCATACTAGTGATGGGAATTCCGGCTCTTCTTGGTGAGCCGGATCATTTGGCTAGGCTCACCAAGAAGAGCCGGCTCTTTCGGCTCCCAAACGGCTCTTCAGTTTACCACATATTATACCTTTTAATTAAATCAAATGTAGCCCTGTTTTGATGTGTATAGGCCTATGTGTACACATATATCACTTAAATTAATCAATACATCCTTTGTACTGAAGTATTCAAAAGTAAAGGAATATAGACGGCGGAATGGCCAATTTAAATCCCCCAGCGAACTTTTCTTTTGATAAGCCGACTGAATGGCCAGAATTAGTGATGGGAATTCCGGCTCTTCTTGGTGAGCCGGATCATTTGGCTCGGCTCACCAAGAAGAGCCGGCTCTTTCGGCTCCCAAACGGCTCTTCAGTTTACCACATATTATACCTTTTAATTAAATCAAATGTAGCCCTGTTTTGATGTGTATAGGCCTATGTGTACACATATATCACTTAAATTAATCAATACATCCTTTGTACTGAAGTATTCAAAAGTAAATATTACATGTTTAATATAAATGACTTGCTGTGGCCAAATGTTTTCATTGCATTTACAGACCCTTGTAACTCTCTGATACCACCCAATGAATGCACTGACTTGCTTGTAGAACCACGCTACACAAAACAGATAGCAACACCTATAAAAACTATTTAAAAAAAGGGGCTACTGTGTCGACATTTTAAAATTATTTTTAAAGAAAAGGCCGATTCTGTGAGCTGCAGCTGACCACGCCCCCCTGCAGGAGAGGGGAGCGTGCTCTGAGATCAGCTGCTGGGCTCTCAGAAGAGGGGGAGAAAAAGAGATCTCCCTCCTCCGTGTTTTATTCTTATAGAAGTAAGAAGAGAAGCAACGGGGCAGAAACCCTCCTTTTTACGCAGCGGTCCAGACATAGACATCAAACGGCGACACATATTCAGTTTATATTTACTTTGGCATTAGGGCAGGGATATCTAGATACTTTCCAAGGTTTGACATAATGAATTGTGCTATTTTTAAAGCAAGCAACGATGTTTTCAAATCTGTAATCAAAAAGNTCCTCAAAAACACTATCGAAGCAGTTCCTGCCGTTGCTACGTTAGTTCAAACAGTAACAACGGACTATTTTTCTTTAGCGGATGCATGTCAATTTAAATAAATACATACAACTATTTTTTAAATCAATAAAATAATTTTCTAAATCCATAAAAGCATTTCAATTAATATTAAAAAAAAAGAACCGAACCGGCTCGTTCGCGGGCGCGAACCGGCTCCCGTCGTTCACTTAAAAGAGCCGGCTCAAAGGCTCGTTCGCGACCGACACATCACTAGCCAGAGTGGAGGCAACGCGTTGAGCGGTACAGACTCGCTACTAAACTCGACAAAGATGACGGGAGAGTGCAGGTGAGCTGCCTGATTTATGCCATGGGCAACGAGGCTGAAAACATAAAAAATAATTAGTCTACTGGATAGGTCAACTTAATCATTCCTGAAAATAATATTCAATTATCTCAACAGCAACTTCTAGAGCATGTCTCCTATTTTTAGCCCCAACCCCCCTCCCCCTGCTTTACAGAGATAGGAAGTTTGATCGTTTTTGTGTCAAGCCTGCATCCCAAATCAACGCAGAGAGCTAAACAGTCCTCGGCAGATACCTATTATGCCTTAATAATAGCCCTAGCTCTCTCATTGTCTCTTCCTCTGAACGGTGCACCGCATATGAGTTCCTTCCTACTCGATTACGGCTCCCCTTGCCCACAGCTTTCCTCCACAGCGTTCCATTAGGAGCCTTTGACTCATGTCTTCAGTTAGTCTTAGCAAAGGCCAAAAAATAATAATAACTTCCAGCAAGTTACACATTGTCACTATCTCATTAATAAATGTGTTGGAGGGAGGGAGAAGAGGGCGAATTGTCTTGAGCTTGTAAACTGTTAAAAATCCTATGTCCTTATCGAGGTAAGATATCAGGTACATAAAAACTCTTGAATGAGTTCTTCAGGCATAAGTGCTCCATACACTCTTAGAACCTCTGCTAAGGGAGGCATTTAGAAATAAATGGTGAATAATGTCACTTAAGTAGGCTACTCATGTACTCACTGTACAGAGCTATTATATGGAAAAACAGAGCAGTAAAAGTGGCACAGAAACACAATCAGAAACTACAGCATGCACAGACATGTAAACAGACAAATGTATTTGCAGCTCCTAGAGGCAAATCTCTCTCAAACACAACCTGCGAACTCCATTTCACGCCTAACCTCTCTCGCTCTCACCATCACCGTCAGTGTCTCTCTCTCCATCTGCGTCACTCGCCCCCCTACCTCTCTCTCCAGTCAAATTAAAGATTTAGTAAATAAATAATCTGAGTGTATTCTGTGCTTCAGGAAACAACATAATTGTGGGAGGAGGGAGGGGGGAGGCACTGGCAGTCATCACTTGTCCAGACAAATTATAACCTTTGAAGTTGAATTGGAGCAAAGTAGAGAAATGTTGCTCTGTTGCCAGACTGTGTCACATCCTAGAGAGGGGCCTTGCTTTAAGCTCAGCAGCATGCGTGCATACTGGCTCTCTGTCTGCCTCGCCCCATGCCTAAAACTCTGGGCTTCACTCTTTTTTCCCCCATTAAATGTCCCAAAACAACTTGAGTTGTGTACTTATATTATACCAATTGTTGTTAACAATTTTCAAAACTAAAGAAATCTGTAATTGTAATCAAGGTAACAGTCGGCTTCACTTAAAAAGGCAGGGTTTACCCTCTGCGCATGCAATCAGCATTTTGTTTGTATGCCGGAAGCTGTTATAAACTTAACTATTTATCCTGTTTCAAGCCAAAGTGCAATTTGACTATATTGTTATTTTTTAACCAGACAAAGGATTGAAGTTATCAGACTTTAGTGCTTAAAGAATCAAGCTGAGCGAACGTTAGTAGCAAATTAACAGCATTGAAAACACAAAGATTTTTAGCGGGAAATTGCTTTATTAAATGTTTTGCCGATTTTGAGGAGAAGATTAATATTTTGGCTTCCAGTGATAAACTTGTGGACAATGAACAATAAAATAAATCCATTCCAGGTGAAGCTGACTGCAACGACGCCAAGAAACGCAATCTTTTATAATGTTCTGATTAAGAGACCCCTAGTGGCAGGACATTTTGCGTTTTGAGCATTTTACACGTGCTCATCATATTTCTCTGTACATGTTATGCAAGGATCCCCTCACTGACTATCAATGTGACTCAGCAACAGAAGGAATGAATGTGAGACTCAGTATGAGCCAGAGAGTTATGATGCATGTAGAGAGTAATGTTGGAACTAATAATCTGTGACATTTTTCTTACAGTGTTTTTGTTTTTGGTATCACTAGTAATTCACTAAATCATATAGCAGATGGGTGACAAATTAAAGGAAAAACACCATTATGTTTCCAGAGCGGCTTCAGTGCTCCTTGGCACAGATTCTTTGTCTTTGTTTTTTTTACTCAAGGTAATAACGACATTCTTCCAAAAAATAAACACTAGTGTTTGTGTTTCATGATGGTGTTTGAAAACAAACTCTCAAAAGGGTTAAACTAGATTCGCACTGGGAACTGCTACATATCATTTGATAGATGTTTTCTTCCTTTCTAAACCCTTCCACAGTAAACGTATTTGCACTGTTCCCTTTAATTTATTCTGGTCTTATCTTTCATTTGTATTTCAAATGCCCAGGAAAGGAAGCAATTTGCTGTTTGAAAATGCAATGTTGTGTAGGGTTGCCAATGTAATGAGAGTAATAAGGGTATTGCTTCCAACAGCATTGATTTCCTAATACTAAATTAAAGAGGAGATAACCAAAGACCCTAAGAGGTCCAAAATCAAAGACTATGCTGCTGAGATGTTATGCCGTCTCAGATAAAAATATTTTTCTCCACAGTCCAAATGAAACCTCTGTTAATTGTGGTGAGAAGCTGTTCTATCCCTGCTTTATATTAAGCATTAAAGCACTTTCAATGCAATGCTCACCTCTTCATCACGCCCCCTGTGGTGTCCAGTCACCAATCAGACACTATCAGCACCATCCAGTCACACACAGGAAACGGCAGTGCTGCTGGAGATCCAGCCAGGTGTCGTTCTTATTGGAGAAAGGCTCATTTATGAAAGGGTGCTCTCTTGTGGCCAATGGGAGTAAAATATGACCCAAGGATGCTGGAGGGAGAGATTGACAGGAAATAATGTGCTCTCATAAAAGAGAGGCTGGTGCTGCTGGACATCTTTTTATAGACTCCACATAAGAAGATAAACTGCCCACAGAATATTGACATAGGGGCATTAGAGTTATTAGACTTAAAATGAAACATATAGATGGATGGATAGAAAGGGAGATAGAAAGGTAGATGGATGGATAATAGAATAGTAGATGGATGGATAGGTTATAATAAAAATAAACTCACATCCTCACTTCTCTGCAGTCAGTTCTCAATCCGGAGCGGTGCTGTGCGCTCTAGGGTCCGGGTTTTCTTTTTCTCCCCTCCCATCTTTTTACTCCTTGCTTGCCACTACTTTACCTTCACTTGTTCAGTCTTCACTCTGAGAGGAGGAGGAGGATGGTTTATGATTGGCCAGGCGGGGACTGGTAGTCCGGAGGCTGGCATTGTGTTCTGCGTTGATCCCCGTGTTCTTGTTTACACCTTGAGGACGGGGACGAGACACCCAGTTGCCCAACAGAGCAAACTCGGGGGTCCAGTGTGCAGAAGAGCTGGCTATCTGACAGCATCTCCTCCGTGGTTACTTGTTTTCTATTTTCCCAAACCATAAGTTTCTCTTTTGCTGGGAATCGGAACTCTCCCAATGCGTTCAGAGCAGCAATGCGTCAAACTTTTTGGTGACTTCTGTGGCACCTTACGGCTCCCAGGCAAGAAGGGTATGAGTCCAGCTGGACATGAGATCTACAAGGAATAGCAGCGGCAAGTTGTTTCTTTACATCCACAGGGTCTGATATTTACGGACCGCTTCAAACTTTGATTACGGGCGGAAATTACACCCTCACATTCTGCTTTGTGATGGATGTGTTTTGAGCGTTGCAGTCTGTTTGCGTAAAACGTCAACTATTTACCAAAAAGACGACATCCAACATAAAGTACTGGACTGTTTTATATTTCTCCTTTTCCTGAGAAATCTGACAGGGGACTTTGTTGGACAAGAGCAACTTGCTGTGTGAGAAGCACCGCAGGTTACGCTGCGTGGGAAACCCCGGGACGCTCCGCTACGGCGTAGCCGGAAAAGATGCTCTCTGTTAGGATACAGCGTGGCCAAGGTCTCGGTCCTCTGGTTCTTCTCCTCCTGGTCGGGAGATATGTCGTGTCTGGCACTGGTAAGTTGTGAAATCAGTTGGTTATTATTCTGGAAACACTGTATGTGACATGGTGCAACACTGGCATATTTACACAGCGAGTTTGTTTTTATTTAATTTGAGTAGGGCTATATCAAGTCAAACAACAAGAAAACATTCGGATTTTCCACTTTTAAACTAACCTCAATGTTACCTTCACGCCCTAACTTTTGCTCCAGGCAATTTAAAGTACATGCCTTGGACTCCAGAGAGCACCCATAACAGTGCAGGGATCTAGGTTCGCCTGCTGACCAGCACTTTCTTTTCCCCAGTAAAGTCTTCAGTCTTACAGTAGACCCGAGCTCAGAGCTCTCTTTTCTTGAAGCGGAAAAATCAAACTCCCCCGGTGCGCAGGGAGTAATTAAGGTTTTGCTCCATGCCTTCTCAGCCTCTCCAAAAAATGAAAAGAAAGGCCCTGTGAAAAGTAAGACAGAGTACTTAAAGCGCTTGAGGGGAATTATTAATAAAAACATCTCATTGCAAGATCTACATTGAGTGTCTGAGGTGTAGAAGTTGTGTCTGAAAGACTACACCCACAGGATCATAAACCATTGATTCTCTTTTAATCATTATTTTATTGGATGTAGAATTTCAGTCTGAACCGAACATGCTTTGATCTGGGAAGAGCATATTTCTCAGAGTTAATGCTTTCAAAGACTGTAGCAGCTCTCACGGAGACAAAATCACTTGGTACATAGGACAGCTCACAGTTGGTGATCTGAGGGGACAAGACCTGGACACCGAGGTGACACCCATTATGAATGATTTCGCTCAGTGTGGCCTAGTGGTAGGCACGCCTGGAACTTTGCTCCCCTCCCTTTGCCTGATAAGATTGAAATACAAGGCAGAAATCTGAGGCTTTAGTGGATTGAGGATTAAGCTCGGTTTACAGTAGGAAAAAAAAGAACAATGCGAACAACAATGAGTGCAGACTCTACACATGCATTGCTAAAAGTCCACTGACTCTGGTGAGGAAGTGCATTTTTTACTTAATGACAGCAGTCATCTTTTGTAATGACACTGACTGTCTGTCCAGGTCTGTGGTCATTTCTTTGATTGCCAATAAGAACCCACCGCCGTACCTCCCAAGGCCCTCGTGTGTATTATTCCCTGAACAGGCGGAGCAGAAAAGCAGCTTACGTTTATTAAAATTGTGGAACATTCTGAAATCCTTGCATGAGAAATGAGAATCGTTCACATGAAGAGTTGAGGATTGCAGTGAGGTCCTGTTAGGGGAGAAGAGCCTGGGAGGAGGGGGACGGCAGGGGACAATAGCTCAGTGTGCCCCAGTAAAGTTTCTGTCTGGGCGAGAGCAAGGCAGAGATATATTTAGGGAATGCATGATGGGACAGACAGATTGCATTTATCTTCTCTCCACTTGTGTGTTTACCTTTCCTATGCCGCCTTCCCTCAGATCCCTCCTGTCTCGGCCTCTGCCTGCATTGTGGATGTGCTGAGCTCACATTTCTGCATTGGTACTCCTCTTTCTGTGTTGACATACGCATTAATTACCCAGACTGCCAGGAACACTTGTCTGGAGTAACTACCCTGCTGTCTGCTGCCTCTCTCTGGGTTTGTTATTATTAATGACTTCATCAGAATTTAAAAAAACATACGGGAAATTTGCACAGTTTGAGACACATTGGGATCAAATGAAGACAATCTGGCGACGAGGGGGGGGGTGTGAGGCAAGAGACCAGTTTGTCCAGACTGGGAGGTCAAGCCAGGAGGTGAGCAAGGCTGAGGGTAGCGTAGAAGCAGTTGAGTGTTCAGAGTCAGGCAGCGTAGCATGTCAGACACTCCCAAAGAGGTTTGATGGATAGTGACACCCCTCCATGATGTGCTGTCTCATTTGTGTTAAGTGTGGGAATTATCTTTCTCTTGAATAACAGCACAGCGACACTAAGAAGACTCTATGTGAGTTAATAACAGGCTACTAAAATCTTTGTAGCCCTGCTCTACACTTTGCTCCGAAGAATTCTGCAATTTTCAGCCAAAGTATGAATTTTAGATGCATACAAAGAAAGGATTGTGACAACACAGCTAACCTCAAACAAACACCAAAGCAGAATCGGCTTCAAAGATGCTCAACAGATTGGGTGTCAGATTAGATTAAAGTGTCTCTGAAACATGTAGTCATAACAAAAGTGCTGCCAGGCTGTTGCATCTGCAGAGATTTGGACAGGTGGTTGGGCACCGTGATAAATAAACACACCGACAGCCCTCTTTAGGCCAGCCCACAGGCCAGACTAGTTCCTTTAGGCAAGTCCTGCTGGCAGACTAGACCGGGCCACATGCTGTCCCGGAGCAGTGCATTAGTTTTATGACCGTCAGGCGGCAGGGGATGGGATCGCTGGCCAGCCACTGCCCTCTCTGCTGTATTATTCATATGTGCAAAGTGGTCTTTGTTAATATTTAAAATGTGCTTATGATGCTCAAATTCTTGACATCACAGACAGCAAAGGACGTGGGAGGAGAGCAGTTGCGCGGCTCTTATTGGCTTAGCTGACCCGGATGACTGCAGGGGGTAGTGAAGGATTTTAGGGTACCAATAGGCAATGTTAGACAAGATAAAAGAGTGCCAGTTCGAGCAAGTGTGCTAATTGCGGCCAGGGGCTATTGCAGTGGTGGTGTGTGAACCAAACAACAAGAGGGGTTACGCAGGGAAATGCTATCCATCTGAAGAGGAAATAACAGAAAGAGAAGATGGAAGAGAAATGAATCCGAGAGAGACACATTGAGATAGATCGAACGCAGGGCATGGCTTTTAAATATCTTTTATGAGAAAAGAGCGAAGAGGAAAATTCCATAGCAGTGGCATTCAAGCGTCATTAAACCTCTGGCAAAGGCCAGAGAATGAGGCGAGGTGTGTGTCGGGAGGAATAGGTAGGAAAAGATTAAGAGAAAAGCAAGTGATGTGCAGCAGGAACCAGGTTAAAGCCAGCAAAGCAGAAGAAGAAACGGTTGTTCAGGGAGAAAGATATCGTCGAGGAGGGGTGGAGGGTGGAAAGTGAAAAAGAGACACACAAATCCACTTGGGGGATGTTTTTATTAAGGCTCTTATCGATGGAGAGAGCTCACAGTATTAAGAGTAGACATGTTTAATGCTTTGCCAATACTTTGCATGTTAGACCGGACCATAAATCTCCAGCAAACAGCAAGGGCTCTGTAGGAGGCAAAATGGCGAGGTAAATGGAAGAAGGAGCTGACTATAAAGAATGAAGAGAGGAATTGGCAGAAGAAGAAAGTTAGAGCAGAGATTTGCAGACTTGAGATGAATATGGTTTTAAGCACAGGTCATTATTTTCTTCTGCAAAAATGAAATGTTCCCCAAGTATTAAGAATCAGAGGACGTAACATAATTATATAATAACCCTAAGTCAAGCAACTTATTCAAACTGCGCATTATTTGAAAAGTGTTCATCAATTGAAGCAGTTTGAATATTTCATGTAATGCCACCTTGGATTCTGGTTGAAAATGTTTTTGTCTCACACCAGATGGTCTCTCTTACCTGGGTGCCTTCAAATAAAACAGTAATAAAATGCAGGAATGCTTCAATTTAATCCAAACATTTAAAGCCATTGATGTTTGAAATTTAAAAACATTTCTGACCACGCTATTTATCCCAGGGTTAAACTCTTTTTATAAAAAGTTTTGTATCACTCATTGACTTTGAGGCGATATTTTCTGAATAAAACCCAAAGAGTTTGGCACAGGCAATCAAATAACCCGGGAGTGTGTTTGAGGCAAAAAAGTTAAAGTTGGAGTGAGAGAGGGGGTTGATGGATGGATGGATGGGCCGGGGGTGGAGGACGGAGAGTTTCGGTGGCAGATGGGAGCTGAGTTGCTGCTGGGCTGGCAGGACAGGGCACCCCCTGCCCCTCCAACCTGCCCTGTGGGGGGAGATGGGTGGGGCAGGCAGGGAAACAGGAAGAAAACCTCTGTGGGGTTCCATTGTGCTTTAGATGAATAGGAGACTCCACAGAGCTTTTCCAGCCCCTTTGTGTGGGGTGAAGGCGGGCTGAAACAGAACACACACACACACACACACACACACACACACACACACACACACACACACACACACACACACACACACACACACACACACACACACACACACACACACACATACGCACACACACACACATACGCACACTTGGTAAAAGTGGTAGCGCTGAGGTCCATAGATCAGACGCAGTGTCAGCACTTGATTGGCTGTGCTGTGGTCCAGCACTCAGCATGTGTCTTATATAAATGGGAGGTTTTTCAGACCATGTATATTCCCCTCAGCTTCTTAGCAGAGGCTTTTTGTCTTCAAAAGGCGGTTGAGCCAAGTCCTCTCAGAGCTTAGACCACAGCCAATCTGTTAATGCTTGTGTTTGTGTCTGTTTGTATGTGAGTGTGCCATGTGGGCTTGGCTTACTGGAGGAAAATTCAGCTTAAAGTGTGTTAAAATGTACTGCATTAGGAAAGTGATGGCAGTTAGTGTTATTCTGACTTCCTCTTATGAATGTGGCATAGAAAGCTAAATTCCCCCACATCCACATTAATAAATTGCCTTCACTTGTCCCCATTCTCCCTTCCTTCAATCTCTTGATAGTCTCATCAGGTGTATTTATAGCTTATAGGCTCACATATACCAACCTTTGTCATTCATATCTCTCACACTCCATCATGTTTTCCCCCAGCCAGCTCTCGGCGGAGTTTGGGAATTGCTCTTTATAAGGCACTGTGAAGAATCCCATTTCTCTGAGTGTAACGCTTATTAGGGTCCCATCTGCCCTCAGGGTACTTATGAATGTGGGGGGTGTTTGGGTTGTCGTGAGTAGGTAAAGGAGGGGGGACGAGGGGAGCTTTGTCATGACTGTGTAAGTGGATGTGGGTGCCACTGGGGGCTCGTGCGAGGTGGGATGGGGCTCTTAACATTGTGGAGCACACACACCAAGCAGCTGGTGTGTCTAAAGTAGGGGAATGACAC